GCTAACACAAAACCACTTCCATTGACAAAGTATTGTATGTTTTGATCACATAATTCTGGGATCAGTTTTGGTGATAGTATAGGTCTGTCGTGTCCAAAACCTAGACATGCATGGCCATTATTGCCAAAACCATAGACAATATCATTGGTTGTAATAAATAATACATTATATTCTTGATAACAATCAATAAAAACATGTAATTTTGTTATCTTTGCTTTAATACTTGTGGGAATTATATCACAAATTGTAAATTTTTTTAATAAATCACACATTTTTACAATAATAACCATTAATATATTTTAAAAAACTTATGTAAAAACATTTAATTATTTATAAAAGACTTTTCAAAATTTATTAAATTAATAATATTTTCTTTGTTTTAATAAACAAACTTTTATATAATTGTTGTGTTGATAAACACTTCAATACAACTTTTTGTTAGCAAATGTTATAATCAGTGAAACCAATTAGAAATAAAACAAAGAATTTCATACAATGTGTGATAATAACTATAGTTTTTTGATAAACTATAATATTTATAAATGTCACTAAATGTTAACTCGTTGTAAAGTATAACTTCTAATGAACATTATTAGTTAAATAGAAACGTCTACTCATATATTGTCTAACTTATAATATGCATTCGAATTGACCTACAAGTGGGTTGGTATAAACCCCGATGTACTGGTGGTCACACGGGGTTCAACTTCGTGGCCGATGGGCTCAGATAGTGACCGAACTCGCAGTTAATGTTCTACTTTTATTGTAAAAGATCACAACTAATAAACATTTTATTCAAATGACAAAAAAATCAATTTATTAAATAAATAATTATTATAAATTATTTTGTTTTGTATTATTGTAATAAATTTTTGAATATGGTAATTTTTTAAAAGGGGCAAAAATGCATCGGGCTTTTAATCATTATCATATTAATAAAAATTAAATTTACAAATACTAATTATAATAACTAGTTTAAAAAACACATTAATTTGTAAGATGATAAAACATGTTGATCATAGCACATTTTATTACAGAACTTGTTAAACTATATGAATAGAGTATATAAAGAATGTAAAGTAATAAAAAGCATTATTCTTTTCCACTTATTAATTACTACTAAACCTGCAAAGGTATAACATAATAAGTACATTTTAAAATTAATCGAGCTGATCATCATCAATATAGTTGGAAACTAGTTTAACCAATTGTTTGTCAGAAATGTTTTTGGATTTAATGCGTGAATGTTTCAGTCCTTTGGTTATCAGGTTTTGTTCTTTTATTATTTCTTTGAAATAATTATAAATGCATTTATAATCAATTGATTTTGCGTTAAATATAGGGATTCGCCACAGAATTGCACTTTTCATTCGTGAGATTATATTAGCGTTGATTTCGATTGGATTTTCGCCAAAAATATCATTGAATTCATTCATTATATCCTTTATATCAGTTTTATGTAAATTCGAGGGTTTATTCAGTTTAGTAATAAATCCATGGATTTGATCGACATTTACATCAAAAGTATCCAAAATATATGACTTGTAATCAATGTCTTTATAGCCATTCCTAAAACAAGTTAATTAAGTTATATAAATAAATTCCTTATTATTAAAATATGTGAAAAATTCTTACTTAATATGCATTAATTGTGAGCCAAACAAACACTTAAAAATTTGTCCGATTTTATAAATAAAAAGGGTTTCAAGAGTTGTTGAATTGCTGTATAGATTTCGATAGTCATGTAAATATAGTTTCATACAATTTTCGCAATTTATAAAATCATTTGTAATAAATATATTTTTAGCATCGAGTGATATGTTGGCGATATTTATATTCAAATCAATCAATGCTTGAATACAATGTAATAATTGTCTCAACAATTGCTGTGAAATAAGGAAATCAATTGAAATGATTGCCAACGAGTGATGGGTTTGTGTCCCAAATATCACGTGTTTTGCATTTATGACATCCCATAGAGTTTGCGAACAAAACTCTGATTGAATGTAAATCTCTTTATTTTCAATCCAAGAGTTATATATTTGTAGCAAATATTGAAGTTTTAATGTGAATACTTTCCGAATATTTACCACGAGCTTCTTTAGCGGTGTATCATCTATTGTATATTGAACAATTAAATAAACTCATATATTGATTTATTACAATATTTAATAGTTTAAACTAAAAATAATATACAGTACAGCTCAACACTGAAACACTTACCGTACGGATCAGATTTGCTAATGTAATAGAGCTTATTGTTGAGAATATTCTTAACTTTAATAAATCGTCTAAAATCGTACATGTTATTCAATTCATCAAGCTTATTTTCAAAGAATGTAAATGCTTGGTTGATAACTAAAATAATAATAGAATGATATTAAATATTACATAAACAATTAATAAAATAAATTAATTATATAACATATAATTATACTATGTTATAACATTATAACAATACTAACTTGGTGATTCATAATAGTTATCATCTAGTTGAATATTACTAGATTCGCAATCTTTCATGATTTCTATATTAAGTCAAACATTAATTTTTAATTATTTAAATAGCAGAATAAATATTGTAATAAAATTGATTTACCATTATTTTCATCATACGTTTGGCAAATAATACACTTTTTATGACAACGAATAAAATATTCAAAAAATAGTCTAAATTTCTTTTCAATTATATTATTAAACATTAAATCATTGCTTTCGACAATCGGTTTAATCAATAAATCCTGTAATTTGTGTAAAATTACTTCACATTCAGGCCTTTGTTTCCATATATCGTTAATCTCTTCGCAATTCTTTGTATATATACTAACACTCATTGACAGCAATAATCCGTATATTTCTGACAATTTATTCTTTAGATTTAAATTATTATCAATTTTTATATTGAAATCAAATCTAAAAATAAAAATATTTAAATTTAATATGTATTGAATATTATTGTATTAATAATAACATACACTCCGTCTCTGATATCGTCGGAATCGAAACCAAATATTTTCGCTCCAATGAGTGCCAGACTATAGACATCTATTAAATGGTTATAATCGGTGCCAAACTGTGCTTCGGGTGCCATATATAGAGCCACATCTGCGGTGTGTTTAGCATTACTTTGATTGTATCCATCGCTCAATGCTTTTACTTCTTTAGACAAACCGAAGTCACATAACATAATAAATCGCTGTCTATTCCAGAGAGTCTTGTTTACTATCAACACGTTATCGGGTTTGAGGTCTCTGTGAATGATATTATTTTTGTGCAAATACTCCACACTTTCGACCAATTGTTTGAATATTTCATATGATATATAATATTCAAATTCAGTCATTATTTTTCCAAATAATTGTTTCTTATTTTTAAAAAAGTTATTTAAATTTCCGGCCAAACAATCCATTTGAATGTATAAACAGTTGCTTTCAAACCACGAATAGTGGTATTGAATGACATATTCTGAGCGCAATTTTGTCAAATTATCCGTTTCTATCAAAACATTTTGTTTGATTTCTTCATTCAAACCTTAAAATAAGTTAAGTATTAATGAAATAAAAATAATATTTTAATTATAATATAACAACTATTACATTTTAATTGACATTTTTTAATCGCATATTTGCTTTGATTGTATTTATCTCTCACTTTAAACACATCGCCAAAAGCACCGGAACCTAAACCTATCAACTGTTCAAACATTTCCCTGTAATTCGGTCTCCGATTGGTTTCTAATGGATTTAGATTAAGAAATTAAATAATTAATTACATATTTTTATATTTAATATTATATATATTTAATTTAGAATACAGTATATATTTTTACCATATTGAGATGTTTGACAACAATCATTATGTTTAGTGATAGAAATGGTTTTATATGTAATTTTGCGTTCATTATAAACGTATTCATTAAATGATGTATATTTAGTCTCATTGAATGTTTCGGAATAATTATTATATTCATAAACTTTGCCATCACTTATACCGAGAATAATAGGCAATGACGAGCAAACATGGTGATCTCGGAACAGAATACAATCATCAAACAATAAATTGCTTACCATGATCATATTATTATTTTGATTTTCTAAATCATATTTGTAAACGTGTTTATCATGTGATGGCATAACTATGATTGTGCTTATAAAATGGATCTTGCATATAATTATCTTATTATTAACATATGGTAATAATTTTGTTGTATTTGGTGTCTCATTGCCAAACATTATTCCCCACATAAACACCTCTCCATTGGATGTAATGCCAAATGAATGCCCAAAAAAGCACATAATGTCCACAATTTTGTATTCAACGGGAAATTGTATTTCAATTGGTTTTTGTGTTTCCATTGATCGGTATTTAAATTGAAATATCCGTCCATTGGATGTCAGAGCCATAACTTGTCTTAAATCACATGATATTTTCGCAATATGTATATCATGTGAATTACATAATGATATTTCGTGTGGTTTTGTATAAGTTTCTACATTTTCTTCATTCAAACCCCAGCCAAACATTTGTTGATCGCTATTCAAAACCAATACAAAATCCAATCCAATGATAAACTGTTGTATATTATTATAACTTAAGTGTTTTACTTCTTCGGGTGTATGTATGGGTCGGTTGTGTCCCAAACCCAACACTCCCTCACTATTACTGCCCAACCCATAGACCCGATCACTAGTCGTCACAAACAATATGTTTTTCCCCTTTTCATCGCTGAAAACATGAAATGATTTAATTTCTTGTCTCAAATCGTCGGGAATTTTAGCACAAATTTCAAATTTATTTAAAATCTCAGACATTATTATTATTAGTTATAATTATTACATAAAATCAAACTATAATAATACAGTATTAACTGGGAGTATGACATTAGCTCGAAAGACATTAGCTCGAAAGACACTAGCTCGAAAATCATGAGCTCGAAATACACTAGCTCGAAAGACACTAGCTCGAAAGTCATAAGCTCGAAAGACACTAGCTCGAAAGTCATAAGCTCGAAAGACACTAGTTCGAAAGACACTAGCTCGAAGACACGAGCTCGAAAGACATGAGCTCGAAAATGATTAAATTGATTTTACAGCATGTTTAATATGATATATCATTATTATATTAATTAATAAATTTAATATAGCTATAAATACATCAAATACAGAATTACAGAATTAGATAATGAGCGAAAATTACAAAATATTACTAATTCACGCAATAATTTTACTTTATATAATTACTTTAATGCAATTGCTCATCTGTTTGATTTTTAATTACAACATAAAACTGTTTTTGTATTGTATTAAAAACTAAAAATATATAACTAAAAATGTGAAACTAAAAATATTATATAAAAATTATTGTAATAATGATATCTCATATTAAACATTCTGTA